TAAACATTGGTCCGCAGATGCTTCGTTTTCAGGATACGGGGTGTTAAACTTTTGTAACGGGATATGCAATTAAATGGATTTTTTTTTCTACAAAAATTAATCAAGATACGAAAAACATTCAAGGGACAAAAAGTTGTATTTTAGTTGTTTAATTAAAAAAATATATAAATATTATAAAAATGTCAGTGGCGTACATTTTTTTTGTCAAAAATATTCGTTAAGGTACCGCTCGGAACGCCACTGGACTTAACAAATCTAATCAAGTTAGGATTAAATTAGCCCCTTAACACTATAAGTAACACTAACAAATTACAACAAAATTGGGTAAAGGGTATTTAAGATATTTACGAATGGCAATTTTTTTTACAAAAGTTTAACACCCTGTATCTTGAAAACGAAGCATATGCGGATCAATGTTTATATGAACTTTTTTTCTTAAAATCACTCAAATAATCGTCTGTTGAATTTATTGTACATACTTAATTAACACCCTATATATACCTACCTACATACTTTTTATTAAAATCTAGGTTCATGGGGTGAAGGTTTTCTCTACTTATAAAGACTGATTCTTAAAATATTTTTGTAATTAGTTGTTGAGGAATGATTACCAAATTCCTATGCGGATTGCACTCTCTCGCGCTCGGTCTGTGAAAAAGCTCCCTAACAGTTTTCTCTGCTAATCCTGTTCGTGGATCAGAGTGGTTGGTTTTTGAATTAGACAGTTGTCAAATAGTATATTGTGTTACTAGGAGTAGAAGGCGATCATTATGATTGTGTCGAGCCCAAAAGTTTGCTCGCCGAGGCGTTAGCCGAGGCTGAGCAAATTGGGCAAAACACATAATGAGCCTTCCACTCCGAGTGACATATACTATTTTTTCTTCAAGCGTGAATATAAAAAATTACTAATTTTGAAAATTTATAGCGGATAACGCGATGTTCAATCTCAGCACAAAATAAAATCAGTAGGTAGGTAATACTATTTATTTTATACATTTTATACATTTTATTGATTAATTAAACATGACAGTTTTAACCACTTTATTCATGAATAAAAAAACAAATGTAACAATTATTTTTCTTTAATTTGAATTAAACGAATAAACATCTAAATTACCTACATGTCTATCATCAAACTTTATTTATTAACATGAATATTAAATGTGCAATTTTGTATGGTACAGTTGTTGATATTTAAAGCGCTGCTGGCTGTCTTTTTTTCAAAGTTTACAGTTCTGTCGTTGAATACGTTACTTGTAATAAGGTTCTCAGTTTCAGTGTTAACAATTGTACCATTATTAACAGAAAAGTCTTCGATTAAATTATTTTCAGGATCAATATTTACAGTTTCGCTTGATGTACTTGGTTCATTATACTCTAATGGGTTTAATATTTTCATCGCTATCTGTTTCTTATTGTTTACAGAATCTTCAATGTATCCTTCAGCGACGCTGGTAGATTTCCATCCACCATGTCGCTTTAGGGTTGTAATGTCTCCACCATTATCAACTAAGATAGTTGCCGAGGTTCTTCTAAGGCAATGCCCCGTATATTCATGTGGATTTGGCAACCTTAAAAATGATGCAACATCTTTTGGCACTTTTGAAATTTTATGTATGCCCATTACAACACGATGACAATGGCCATTTTGATATTTAATAAAAAATCTATCAAAAGTTATGTCTTTTGGCCGAAGAGTAGCATATTTTCTGTATAAATTTAAATAAAACTCTCCAATTATGGTAAATGAACGATGTTTTTTAGTTTTTGTATTGGGAATATTTACTAATATTATATTTCCCAAATCTTTTACATCATTAACTTTTACTTGAATGAGTTCATCGCATCTACAAGCTCCTGTGACTCCAAATATTAGTGCAACCTAAAAAATATAGAATTATTAATTTTGTAACAATAAAAAAAGTTGGAAAATGCAAGGAAATTCTAAAACATGACGTAATTTTAAGACATCTATATTTATGAGTTTTTACAACATTCTTCCAATGAGCTATCTTTATTTCCGAAAATTGTTTATTATTCTCGTAATGGATACTATAAAATAACTTGAAGTTTACAAATTATAACAAAATTTTGTATTACAAATATAAAAAGGTTAAATATATATCTACCTATAATTTAAAAAGTACATACCTTGGTTGCTAAATATTTATCATCAGGTGCTTTATTCAGGAATTCGTCAAATTCTTTTTTAGACAAAACTTTCGACTTTTTTGGTTTATAATTTTCACCTTGTCGTTTCAAAAATGTAATTAATTTTGAATATTTCTCAATATTTACATTGTGTTCTATGTTTAATTTAGATTTTACCATTGAATATTGCGCCCATAAAGTTGAACTTTTCAGTGTTCTGGATAATCTTGTAAAATATGCTATCATCACATTTTCTGAATAAATATGTGCATTATTTTCTTTTGCCCAATTTATGAATTTATCATAAGCATTTTCATGCATTTTTCTCGACTTTGTTGGTATAAGTGTTGCCACTGATGTATTTGCAATTTCCAGTAATTCTGGTGGTGTGCACTGCATTTTTTCAGACATTTTAAAAACGACCCGACGCGACATATCAAATTTCAACTGACACTTAATGAAACGTCAAAGCTTCTTGAATCTTTAATTCGTTGCTAGGATACTTACCTACACATTGTTACATTTTTTACTAGTTAAAAAATGATAAATATTTGTACTAGTTAAACAATAGGTTGCTTCTAAAGGAGGTGTTGCACTATATAATATAAGTATTATTATACGCTTGAAGAAAAAAATTATTAATTAATATTTCGTTCAGCAAAAATACTTTGAAGTATGTTGTTCTTCATATAACATTGTAATTGTGCATATGAGGTAGAATAAAGCTGTAATTCAATGGTCTACGTCTGCGTTTTATTGAAGTAAACTCAAGATCATCTACCATACATGGAAAGTTACAATCCACAAAATACCGAAGGATTTACGAAAGGAACCGGCCGTAGAGGGACACAGTGGTTCCCAAATATTAGTTATTATACCTATTGAACATTTTCCAGCATAAAATAAATACATAGATAATTTTATTAATTTATTTTAAAATTTTTGTTTCGTTAATTTTTTTTTCTCCGCAAACATTACGCGCAGTGGGCAAATACCTCGTTGTTGCTTCCCAAGTAACGTCTATGCTGGAGAGATTGGAAGTACCTACACCACCGAAAATTGTTCAAGTTTCAAATTTAAATTCTATAATAAATTTAGTATATAAATAAATATAAATTCAAATTCACATTGGTTCTTACATAATACGAACTCGAGTATTGGTCATAGATGTTATATTTTTATAGCCCTTTTATTGACTAATAATCCGCGCCCTTCCATAGGGCCGATAATTAAGTACGAAAATTATCCACTAGATGTCTATCAGATATTTTCTGCCGTAACCCGTAACTAGATGGTGGCTAAATGAACTGCCGCCAACACATGCTGATAAGGCATGCGTAGTGACAGATTCGGACTTCTGACTGACAGAAAAATACAAGAAGATGGTGAAGTTAGGATTATGTATATTTATTTTTTTGATATTTGAAAAGTTTCTTGTGATAAATGGAGCAACCCATTGGGTAGTCACAGAGACTGGAAGAATTCAAGCATATGTAAGTATTAAATAGTGTTTTTAGTATATTTGACGACAACATGCAATATCAAAATTTACTAAGGTTTTTATTAAATCCTCAAATTAAGCTCTTAATTAAATAAATAAATTAGTTTTCCTATATGTTTATAATATGTTAAATATGCAGAAATTTCGTAGATGTTTTGTTATATATTGTTTAAAATTAAAAATCAATACAGCTAATCAGCTGACCATGTTACTTTTATTACTCAATGTTTATATTTCTCTTTCCCTGAGGTAATGCTGAAAATCGCAATATATTTTTTTAAATTCCTATTTTTTATGTACATTGCCTCTTATTATCCCAAACTAATAATGATTGATATTATTTTGTTTCTTCAAATGCAGGTATGCATTAGAAACTATTACAAAAGCAACAAGTTTCAAAGCCTAATTTTATATTTGTATCTATATTTATTAAGAAAATTTTTAAAGTAACAGTTCTAATCCAACTATTGATATATATTTAATTTTAAATATGGATAACTAAAACCACGATATAAAAAGGTACAGTAAACAAATTTTGTGGTTGCGATATCAAAGCCACTTGTTGATATGTATGTTTGATGTAAAATATTAAATTTTCAGTTCAGGTCTAGTTTTCAGTTGAAAATATATTATGGTTATATTTTAATAAGATCACCTAATTAGAGTTACATATATTATTTATTTAATCAAGCTTTCCTAATGATAATACATTCTATATTAATATTAAGATTAATAAGCATTAAAATTTAATTTTTAAATTTTATTTTATAAAAACAAAAAAATGCAATCACTGTCACTAATGTCCAAGGAAATATAAGCATAATGGGCAGCAGATACTAATGCATACCGATTGTACTATAATTCTTTTCTGATAACATAACACTTCCTGCGATAGAAATGTTAACTAATTTGTTTATATTAGGAATTTGATTATTCATTTTTATGAAGGCGGAACAATTTTTATTACTATGAATTAGTTGGCATTTATCTGTTTACCTACTTGATATTTTGATTTTTTATTTGATTTACAGTTAGAGTCACCCTTTAACTTACGAAGACCGTATGATCTTCTGGCTTTGTTAGACCAAGAAACCAGGAATAATGACATCAATAAACTCTATAGCGATCTCATAACTCGTAAGCAGATTATTGAAAAAAAATGGTCTTCCCTAGAAGGAAATTCAAATGTAGGAGCTAAGATAACCTCTCAGGACCCAGACTGTTTAACGGCTGGGAAGTTATTTTCAGATATTGACTTGTATGCTAATATTGCTACCAATGGCACTGACAGGAAAGGAATTTCTATAGATTTTTCAAAAAGGAGCGATGTGTATAAATGGTATGAGGAGCCGCATTGCAGCAAATTCAGCAGACTTAATAAAAAATATTCAAGCTTGCCAGAAATGGAGAACAAAACCAATATTAATATAACTCCAGATGAATCTTTAAACCAGTTTATACCTGTGGAAACTGTGGAGGTTTTCGGACATGAAATTGCAGTGGCTCTGAAGAAAAACACTAGTTCTTGGCTGCATTACAATTTAGCTGCAATTTATTGGAGGATTAAAGGTGATGGAAGTAAAGCCGTGGACTGTATCAAGAGAGCAGTTCAATATGTACCTAGGTATAGTTCTAATTTCAAATAAAAAATAATTTAAATGTTGATTTATACAGGGTGTCAGAAAACTATGGGCGAAAAGTTCAGAGTGTGACTTTACTCATAAAAATAATTATTGTATAATTTCTTATTGTTTTATTTTTGAAAATTCAATATTAACTAGTGTTAAAATCTCTTGAGTAAAAAATAATCTTTTATCCAGTTATTGAAATATCTTCAGTAATTCGGTTTATCAGTAGGAATATGTGATTTTTATTTTTTGCTGCTGTTGCACAGTTATGTCTACAATTGATTAGTGAAAATGATACAACTTGTACAAAGTGTCTCAAACTCGATAGTATGGGCCTACTGTGAGGATACAAAAAATTTAAATAAAATTTGGGACACGTGTTAAATGGGATGTGGTAAGCTCCATTTTCAATCGAAAGTTTTATCTTTGGGTTTGACAGAAACAACTCATTTTTTCCAGTAACATACCCAACTTTTTTCCTGTTAAAAAACTCTCTTTTTTCGAATAAACTTTTATTAGAGAAATTTTTCTATATTACTTCCTGTTTAAAAGTTATAAGCAATATCGTCCTAAAGAGTCTCAAAAGAAATACCACCTAAAAATCACATTAGCGGTGGAAGGATCAAGTAGTCGTTGGAAAATAATTGAATGTTCGTTGTTTAAAGTGCATAAATGTCACAAAATACTTGTCATTACTCAATACGAAAGTCAAACGTATAACTTTTGTGCTTACAAAATGTTTTCTCATTCAGAAAAAGTAGGTATGTTGCTAATTTACGGCGAATCACAAAAAAATTTAAAAAGAACCGTAGAGTTATATCGAGAATGGTATCCAGAGCGCCTCATTCCTTATCGTAGAACCTTTACAAGTTTGGAGGCGATCTTGCGACGAAATGAAGATGCATTTTCTGTTCGGAAAAATTAGATAATTGACCGAAAGGTAAGAAACAATGTTAATACAGCTAGACTGTTCCACAAAATTCTATATGGCAGGCTAGCCAGGAATTGAATTTAGATAAATCAGCCGTTCAACGAATTTTAAAGACCAATGGGTATCATGACTACAAAATTCACAATTTGAAGTATTTGCCGGAGCGTCACATTGAAAACAGACTTAATTTTATAGCTCAAATTGTAGTAAATGTAGGAACTGTTTATCAGAACCTTTTTCGGCACGTTCTTTGGACGGATGAAAGTCAATTTGTCAGTAATGGTTTGTCAAACAGGCGCAATGAACACTACTGGTCCATTGAAAATCCCCACATTGTAAGTCCAGTCCAAAACTATGGCCATTTTGGAGTAAATGTATAGTGTGGGATCATTGGTAGGCATTTAATGGGGAATTATTTTTATGAACACATTGAACAGCTTGGGTCAATTATTTTCCAACGACTACTTGATCCTTTCTTTTGAGACTCTTGAAGACAATATTGCTTATAACTTTCGTTTCTGTCAAATCCCAAAGATTATACTTTTGAATTCAATCCAATCCAGTCCATTTTCAAATGGAGCTTACCTCATCCCATTTAACACCATTTGTCCCAAATTTTATTTACATTTTTTGTATTCTCACATTAGGCCCACACTATCAAGTTTGAGACATCCTGTACATACATAATTTATGAGTAAATAAATAACTTAATATTCAAGAGTACAACTATGGAATATGATTTACTGTAACTCTGTTTATTAAATTTATGACAGGGAATGCAAAAAATTATGAACACTATTTTATTTTATAAATAGATTATTAATTGATTAATTACATTTTGTACTTGAAAAAAAAATGATAATGCATTCTGTTAAAATAGTATCATTTAATTTTTTTTTTAATGAAATGTTGGGAGCACTGTACTCCACTCTGATGAGAAGTTTGAGTGCAATCTGTCCTGTTTACAGCTGTTAATTTTGTTAATCTGCCTAAAGTGGGTTCCGAGATTTTTACTTATAATGTTATTATCTGTTAATTGGATATTCGTATTACTTTCTTTATATCATCATTATGTATCATACATTAATTACCGTGACATTTTGGTCAGTGTTTTATTTAAAAAAATAAATAAATTTTTAAAATCAAATACATAATTACCAAAATATGTCATTTTATGTCTATAAATATCCATAATTCAATTTCTTTCAAAAAAGTAATATTTAATTTTACTTATGTTGTGAAATTATATATTTGGTTATTTTTCTGTGGCAAACAATAAACTTTATTTTTCATAAATGCTGATTTTATGTGATATGGTACTTGTATTTTTGTTTTTGTGTTTTTTTGTAATATTTTTTTTATGTTGGATTACCTACTTCGAAATCAATTGATAAATCTTTTTAAAACCTACAACTTTCTCATTTAAATTTTTTTAGTTGGACCTATAATTTTTTATTTATGTATTAAATTTAAGAAAAACCGTTTTTTGCAAATTTATTTGAATTTTTTTGATCATGTTCGCCATTTTGGATCGAGTTTAAAGAAGAAACTCAATTTAACATTTAATTTCCTATATGGTAATATATTTTTTTCCAAGTAATAATTTTTGCAAATTTAACATTAGGTTGTCAAAAAATTCTTAGACCACATTATAAACTTAAAATTTGCTAATTAATTAATAATTAATATAATTATACTGCTTATTTTGTAAAAATTCTGAAAATTGAAAATTGTATATAATAATTTAATGTTTTTTTTTTCAAAAATAATTAATGTTATTAACTTTTGAAATGAGAGAGTTAAAATATTTAAGTGGGATATTCTTGAGTTAATTCTAAGAAAAAAATATATAAACCTTTGTCCGGAAATGCTCGTTTCTGAGATACAGGGTGTTGAAATTAAAATTTTGTTTTCAATCTTAAATAATTTTTACAAAAAATAAATTTTTCGCACAAAATTTGGTAACCGAGCACCATTTTCGAGAAATTTGCAAATTTCTGCAAAGATGCAATTTGCTGAGCCCCTTAGGGGTTAAATGAAGTTTTTGAGAATTTTATGTTCAAAAGCAGGCTATGCACTTGTTTACTAGGTATCCAAATCAAAATTTGTTTATTATTTATTATTTTTGTCGGGCAGCAAGAAATTTCTTAGACATGGCATATGCCCAACGATGGATCGGTAGAGAAAGTACCACTGGCCCGCTAGGTCACCCAACCTCAATTCCATCAATTTTCTTCTTAGGGGTCACTTAAAATCCTTAGTTTATGTTAGCCCGATTGAAGACGAGGAAATGTTAAGGAACCACATAGATTCCAGTGAAGCGATAAGAAATATTCCCGGTATTTTTCAACAGGTATGGGATTCTTTGGTGAGGAGGGCAGAAGTTTGTATTAATGTCGGGGGTAGTCACTTTCAGCACTTGTTGTAATTTTATTTAATTTTAATTTCAACGCCCTGTATCACAGAAACAAAGCATCTCCGGACAAATGTTTATATACACTTTTTTTCTTAGAATTAACTCAGGAATATTCCACTTAAATATTTTACATAGGTTACATCCTGTATAGATAAAATTGTTATTAATTTTCTAGTTAATAGGGGCTGTTTATCCTATGGAACTTTAGAATTGATGATGATGATTTTATTTTATAGGTTGCAGATTGTTATCAATAAGTCAAAATTTCAAAAAACTGATTAATTGAAAAAATAAACATGCAAAATATTAATAAAAAAATAATAAATTTGAGGCTTTTTAAAAAGTGACATAATGTAATCATAATTTATAAATTTTAAAGTAAAATCAGCCTCTGAATTTTTACTCAGGACAACCTGTATATGCTACAGTTAAATTAATTCAAAATATTACTAAATTTAAAATGTTTTAGTTCTTAAAATTGTGTTTTTGTTTTAAATAATAAGAAAAATTAAGTAAATGATCAGTTCCTGTATTGTGAAAATTTCCTCTGAAAAAAATTTATTCACTCCAAAACATTTAAATTTTGAAGGTTTCAACTAAGAACCTACCTCAAGAGTGTGAAATATTTCTCGTTAAACAAAAATAAATTTATAAATAGCCTATCCTTTTTTTCTGCTCTGGCAAAAAATGCAACACTAAAAATTTGTTTTAGGGAATACCAAGATATTCCACTGCACAATCTGGCAGGGATTCTCCACCAAGCTAGACATTCCAGAGAGGCGGCGCTAATGTTGCACAGCGCAATCGAAACTGCCCCGAATCAAGCGATACATTACCTGGCCATAGGAAATGTATATGCTGCTCTAGGTGACTACAATAAATCAGTGACTTATTACGATAAATTTCTTGAAATAAAGCCTGGGCAGAAAGATGTTGTAGCCAACAAGCATGCCACTCTTTGTTATTGGAAATTGGAGAATGGACTGATTAGTTTTCAAGAGTAAGTAATAACTATATTTCCGCTTTTGCTGCTCTTTATAGCTTTTAAAACTTCTCGAAACTAATTGACACATAATATGAAACAAATCATATTAATTTAAAAAAAAAATGTTTTCAATAATGTTTAATGACACTAAATTAAGAAACCTTCAACTTTTCAGAACTATTGCATATTTACAGAGTATTTCATTAAGAATAGAACGCAGTTTAACAGAAGATTTCTGAAGCTAAAACAAAGTAGTTGAGCCAAATATTAACTTTGATCAAATGTTGCCCTTGTTTAATCTACTTTGACAAAGTTTAAAAAAATGTTTGATAATCTGACGATATGCCGGGAACAATGTTATCATTCAAATTGAAAAATTCAGTAGTTCTGTTTTTAAGGTGAGAATTTCAAACATTTTCTTCATTTAGTTATAAAGTACTTTTTATAAAAAATTATATATTTTTTTTCTTTACTTGTACTTCATTTGAATTAAAATTTAATGAAGTTTTACTCATAATTTCCATTAAAATCAACTTATATTTGGCATCGAAGGGTTTTTGGTTTTTATAAAAAAATCAGTTTTAAATAATTACTTTAAAACTGTTCTGAAGCATTTCTCAATCTCTAATTGTCCATACACACTAGTTAGTACATGTAGAATTATATTATCTACTTTTTGAAATTTTATCAACAACCCTATTCTGCCCAGAATTAGATGTCGGCAGTAGTAGTAATTATTTCCTCTACTACTGAAATTAGTTCTGCTGGTGGCATAGTTTTCGAAATATTTACAAAATTTGTTTTTTTTAAGTCTGACACTCTGGATTAAAAACGGGTAACATTTAACTTTTCAAATTAAAAGTTTAATAAAACAGGTTTCGACAAATAAAAAAACAGTTTATTTTTATTTTAAAACAAATTTTATTTTGATAAAAATATGAAACTCATGGCACTAAGGAAATATATTTCATATTTTATTTTATGAATAAGCAATTCATTTTTAGTTATGGTTTATTTTCCCTTTTTGAATTACAAAACAATATTTCAAAATATTAACAAAACTACTAACTTCCTTCATATATTGAGCCAATTGTATTTTCCATTGAATTTACTTTTGCATGTATTTTTAGTTCTTGATTTATTTTCAATTACTAATTTTTAGTTTTGTTAATATTCGCTTGTGTATTCATATTCATAAAGTATCAACTTAATGTATTTTATATTTGCATTCGTATTCGCGACTTAAAAATCACATCTGGGACAATCCTAATTAAATCATCTGCAAAATGTCATACAAAAATGTTTTTATTTTCAACCAGTTATTGTAAAAGCGGTTTTCCACTAAACGGACAAAACAAAAACAAAACACAAACTTATGACGAATAACAGAAAACTGTAACTTTTTGCAAACTTTTTGAAGAGTGACGTGTTTTGCGACATTTGGAGTTTTGTTTTTCGAGACCCGCTCGGAAAACGGTCATATCAAAAGGTTTCGATGTGTTTTGAAATTCAAGTCTGTTTGGTGGAAACAGTCATTTTGTGTTTTCTATTTCGTTTTACTAGTCTGAATATGAATTTTGGAGCAAATTGGTAGGTAAGTAAATAACGTATTTTTTTATAGATAAGAAATTTGTTTTGAAACGCTGGATAGTATATACAAACTAACTAACCATAGTAAACACTTTAACCGGACATAGGTATATACATTACTTTTTTCCAAGGACTACAGTTTGAACCAGCCACAACTAAGAATAAAAAAATCTTCTCCTAAACATGTTGGTTGGTTATTGAAAGAATGTGTTCTGACTTCCTCGCGACAACCAGTTGGAAAGGACTGAAAATAAAAACAAAACTCGAACAAAATGTAGCCCGCTTGATGGAAACAAGTTTTGTGTTTATTTCAGTTTTGTTTTTGTTTTTCAGGTTTTAGAAAATACAAACACAACATAAACTCAACTGTCTGTTTAGTGGAAAACCGCCATTACATTTAAGGAAATTATGTTTTTTTTTCCAGATCTCTGCAAGGGATTCTATCAGATCTACATGACTTCCACAGCCAGCAGCAGCAGTGGCTGAGATTGCAGGAGCGACTGATGTGGGAACATGCCTCTTTTGAATACCAATACGAAGGCCTCCATCATGACACTGTGGATAGTGGACCAACTGAGAGGAAGATTCAAAGATGTGTACAGAAGACATCTGACAATTCCAAAGCGATAATCTCGTGCGATTCTTACAATCACGCACCAGATGTGGATCATTTGAATTTGCAGAATTTGTTCCAATACGTGGAAAATGAGAAGCAGAAAATTAATGACCAGATAAGGTATTTTGTTTAATTATTTTTCAATTTATTTAGTGATACTGTCACAAATTTCTACCACCAGTGTGATCAAATAAGCTATTACAGCTTATTTATATTAAAAATATTGGAAATAGTCAACCTATTTAAGTGAGAATGTTATAAAAAATTATTTTAATTCATATCTCTCACAACCCCTTTATTAAGGAGGATCGGGTGCTACAAAAAAAAAAAAATGCAGCCAATTTCGTATTATGAGATATATTATTTTCGCAATGGAAAATCATATTCTGTGAATTATCATCGAATTATTTGTCGATTTGTTTTTGTTTTTAATTAACAGTGCCGTAACAAGGTATAGGCAGAGTAGGCACACACACGCCTATGGGCGCAAACTGTTAAGGGCGCATGGAAAGGAATTGTACACAAAAATTTTAAAAATATTTTTGCAAAAACATTTTTTTTTTGTAAAATCCTCAGTTTCTGAGAAAAAAATTATTGAAGTTGTAGTATTTTCTAAATATCCTCATTTTCAAGACAGGTGTGGAGTAGTTAGACCACTTACAGTTTTACATTATGTTGTGTTAAATTATGATTTACAATAAATTTTACGATTTTATTTTAAATAAAATACAGTATATCGACAGCTGTACTAAATAGAAACTGAAAGAGAGATGAACAATCTTGGCATTATTACCAGTACCTCCTTCCATAAAAATATTTGTCACAATCTCTATTAGCTCCGCCCTCAAAAATTCCCCATACTAATTGCACTAATGCACATGGTTGCGAATATATATGGTTTGAGCAGCCTGACCCAATTTAACTATTCAAGCGAATTAATCCGTCTGGAGCAGTTTGAGCCCTATAAATTTTTAGTGAATAAATACGTCTGGAGCAGTGAAAGGGTTAAAATCATTTTTGAACCGTCTTTTCTGATTTTTTTTTACAGTTGTACATATTTGTAAGAATCCCCTGTACGTTCAACAATGATTCCCCTGTATATTAACTTATTATGTTTTTAATTCTGGCTTATTAGTAGGTTTACTTTTAATTTTTTTTTACAAATAATTAGGTACTTAATGTACTTAATATTTTTTTATTTCTACAGTTGTCTTTGTGTGTGTTTGTTTATACAGGGTGTTTCAGAAAGACCTCCCGTAAATTTAGGGGGTGATAGTACAACAAAAAATAAGAAGGAAATATTCGTAAAAATTCTATTTAAAAATTTTTATTTTGTTACTTTTTATCTCGAAAACAAGAGGTAGACATATAGTTCATAAAACAAAAAATTCTTATTTTTTGTTATACTATCATTGAATTTACGGGAGGTACCCTGTATATTTATTTATTTTATTTATTTATTTATTTATTTTAATTACAATATCCAACGGGCAATGCCCAGTTACAGGATAAAATTACAAACTAAAATAAAAAGTAATAAAAATAGGTGAAAGAGATAAAAACTATTCTTAAAACAAAATAAATACCACAAAATATAATATCTAAAACAAACAGGGAGCAGACAGATAATATTAAAATGCTACGAGTATAATACAACACAAACAAATGCAAAAACATACTTATAACTAGTGTTCAAATAAAAACGTGGTCAAGTTGGTTCTGAAAATTTGGACGTAGGGCGTAGCGTATAGCAAATGAACTTAAACGTCATCTGTCAAAGCGCTATATCGCCGCTATCAATTTGAATATTTTCGTTTTAAAAAGCGTTTAAAATGGTGTTTTCTCAAGAACAAAAAGTGTTTATCATAGAGTCCTACTTTAGAAATGGACGCAAGATTGATGGAATATGGAAGTATTCTATTGAGGAATGTTTCATAGAATTTCAAAATCAATTTCCCGGCGTTGTTGAGTACAAAATTTTTCAAAGTGCAGTTCAGCGTTGTGTTAATGTTTTTCGTGAAACGGGCAGTGTAACAAGAAAAGAAGGAAGCGGCCGACCTAAAAAGCGGACTGAAGAATTAAAAGAAAATGTCCAACAAATAATGGAAAATGCGCCAAGAACTTCTGTACGTGTTTTATCACAAATGGTGGGAGTATCAGTCGGTACCTGCCACACAGTGTTAAAAAAAGATTTGCGTTTGTTCTCCTATCGTTTAACTTGTCAGCAAGAACTTCATGAAGTTGATTTTCCGCGACGTGCTGTATTTTGTGAATGGTTTTTAAACAACTACGGTGAACTTCATAATATCACCTTTTTTTCTGATGAAGCCTGGTTTCATTTAAGTGGTTACGTAAACTCACAGAATATGAGAATGTGGTCTTCTGAAAAACCAGATAACTTTTTTGTTGAGGGCCCTCTACACGTTCAAAAAATTGGAGTTTGGTGTGCTCTCAGTCGAAGGATGATTTATGGACCTATTTTTTTTAATGGTACTCGCTAATATTTTGTGTTGCAAGATTTATTAGTTAAATAAAAAGACAAAGTTACCATAATAGTATTTTATTTACCCTCAAATTGTACTTTGCTATAATAATGGATACACATTATCTTTCCATGAAAAGACTAACATATTAAGAAAATCTGATACATAGTTGTCACCAAATGTAACATTAATTATTTCTACTTTTTTATTTGTACTGTAGTTGCAATCAGCTACATCGAAATAGCCGTTTTAAAGCCCTGTTAAATACATTTGTAGCTGCCATCTGCACATAAAACTTCGTGGTACATTTAGTTTCAAGAATACTGTCTTCACAGATTCCATCAGGCGATTCTGCTATTGTGTGTAAACTACTTTAGAAATCATGGAGAGAATAAAAAGACCTGCGTTCGCTTCTAATGTATATTTTATAATAATCCTTTTATAACATCGTAGGGCCAGCAACAAGGCCCATTCAAGTATCTTAAACCTAAACAAAACATTAACCGAGCGGTGAGGCTTGGTGTTGACATAAACACATATATCATTTACTAATAAACCTATAAACACAGGGCGATCTTCTGCAAAGGATACAGGGAGTCCCAATCCACAGAGTGGTTACATGTGGGATAGTTTTTGCAAAGCACCTCTCCAATGAAGCACCCGATCCTCCTTAAGTGATGACCGAATTCACAGTTACATAACAAGTTGATGTGAAGATGTAGTTATGTAACTACAACAATTAGTAATTATGTAATAAAGGAGTTGTGAGAGATAACATTTTTTTAAACATATTATTATTACATGCTTGCTGTACATAGCTTTCATAAATATTTACAAGCCACGTGAGCTAAGATAACCAACATTTCACGGCTCGTACTAAATATCCCTAAATCTTAGCCTGAAAAAAAAATTATGAAATGTTTTTGCCAAGTAACAGGTATTTGAAAATTTTTTATTTTTACCTAAAATATTCAAATGCTGATAACTTCTTGAGCAGATGAAATAAAAATTTTAAAAATTCATGAAAACTACTCTAAATGGTAGGTACTAAATAATACCAAAAAAGTTTTATGTAATTGTTTATCGATGTATTAGGTATAACTGGTAGTAATGATTTGATTTTATTTTGAAAAAGGTAGTAAAATTATTTTTTATATATTATATTCTGTATACAAAGAATTTAGAATTTTGTTGAAAACTACATGGTTTTTGCAATTTTATGAGGTCGCAATGAATTATGAAGTTAACTAAAATAATTATTTTTAATTTTCTAGTTCTGCAAATAACTGGATGTGAATTCGAAATTCTGTTATTCTTTTCTATGAATTTTTGAGTATTGTGAATACTTCGTGAACCATTGACATTAATTTATAGTTCTTTCCATCATGTAATCTTTTCATTTTTTTGTAGTTATGATAATGTCCGCATAGTGAACATTTATTCTGTCATTTCCATTCTGTCAACACCTTCCTTATAACAATAACCCAGGAAACCCTAAATAAAATCAATTTTTCTTTTCATTAATACCAAATTTAGGCATACTTCATCAGATACTGTCCATTAAATTAGATTGATGATGCCAAATATCAAATGCAAGTATTTTGTGAATATGTTTTTGATGAGAATACTTGCTTACGCTTAGTTTTGTTTTCTTTTACGCCGATGCTAGACATTACTTTTACACAGGTTTCAATAGGCTCAGTATTTGTTCCTCTGGAACGATGTGATTTCCTTATATTTGTTTGAATGGCTACGTCTTTCACACTTTGTCCTAGTTTAACACCTATAGTCCCACTTAAATGAGGTTCATCCATTTCTGAATGTTCATTTTCTTCTTTAGTGACTTCCTGAATGTCTAATTTATTTTTTTTAGAAACTGATACCCAGCTATATGTGAATGTATAATTCCTTTTTCTAGCCTCCCTTAATTGACTTCTTAGATCATCTTTGGGTGGGCAAGTTATAAATTTATGTGGGACAACATCTGGTTTTAACATTAATCTTGCAGCTCCCATCATGGTATAATATAACCAGTTTGTACTATCTATGGAAAGCTGTAAATTAAAACAGTTACATTTATTACATTTTTACAATATTAAATACATCTTACATTGAAATGATCTTCACAAACACAATACTTTGCACCGAGTGGAATGTGTCGCACATCCATAGCAAGGGCCCAATTTTCTCTTCTTTCTGCATTTTTTGGAACGGTCAGAAATAATTTTTCTGGATGATTTATTTCGTTGTTATTGCAGGATGGCACAACACACAATTTAGATTCCATTTATTTAGGCTGTACGGTTTTGTTAACACTTGTTATTATTAGAAACATTTACAACATAAAATAAATACACATTAAGGTTATGTTATGTTTGACAACTAAAGAATGTTATGGTAGTGGAACTGGTTCTTTTTCGTTGAACCGTTATGTGCCGTGTGTTCTTAGACATATGACTATGCGCGATACCAGTTCCGATTTCTGAATTTGTTATACAGGGTGAGTCATCGTTAGATATATATACCCCAGTATCATCGAATATAAACCCGCAGGAACGCGCATTGACCATTGACTTTCATTCTTATTATGGCCGAGCCACAGCCTCCTACATCTATGTAAATGTAATAGAAAATTATTTTTCAGTGTCCAACATTGTTAATCCTTTTGTCTAACTAGAGAGTATTTATTTAAACAAAAAATATCTTAAATGTATTTCTATTACTCTCTTGTAATTTCTACCACAAGACCTTTTTAGATAGGCTTTTAAAATGCTAAATATAAAGTGGTGTCTTTGAAATATTTATTTATTTATTTTGTAAATGTTTGATGTACAAAATGTTTCCTAATGGAAAATTTTCTTGTGAATTGTAACAAAATTTTTTGGAATGATTAATGTTGGACATTATAATTTAGTAGAGCGATAGAGGAGAAAACCAACAGGCAGGATGAGACAAATGAAGAGAAGAAGAACCACATCAAAACTCCTCCTGTGCTGTATCCAAAATTTCCAACTACCATGCCAACGTCAAGTAACCAGTATTTCGATAGTACGGGCTGGCCGATGAAGGAAGAGTGTCTAAGGTGGAATTTACCAGTGGAACAGCCAGATGACCTAAATTTGCCACTGTTTTTACCTCCAGAAAATAAGGGATACCAGTAAGTACAAAGTTGAATAAAATTATTCATACAGTATGGCTCATTAAAAACCAGGACCTTTCTAAGTTTGTTTTTCAGATGCTTGATTTAAATAAATTTTTTTATATATGATATATATTACTGGAAAAAAGGAACAAAAATATTTCATATTTTTTTTAGATTTTTGACAGGCTCGGTGAAAAATGGTCGTATCTAAATAAAAAAAAAACCTTTGAAGCTTTAAGTAGTTTTAAAATATAACTTATTTTTTCAATTATACAGGGTGACATAGAAAAAAGTACATTGCATAGTGTCATACAATAGAGGACACTAAAACAAGAAAAAAAGTTCCTATGAACATGGGTCCGCAAGGCCTTCGGTTAAAGGATACGGGGTGTTGAATTTTAATTTTTTTTTATTTGCAAAAACAATGATAAATACTTCAACAATTAAATTTTAATGGTATGATGAAAAATATGATTAATTAAAACAAAACATTAAGTTTTTAGAAGATGTTCAAATTGTTGCCCTTGTACTTCAATACATTTTTCCATTCTTCTTCTTAATGATTGACGGCATCTTTGAAATATTCCTAGGTTATTATGAAATCTATCTGCCGATTCCATAATTCTTATCCATAATTGTTCTTCATTATGTATTTCTACAGCATAAACTTCATTTTTCATAAATCCCCAAAATGAAAAATCGAGGGGATTAAGGTCGGGACTACGAGCTGGCCAGGNGAGAATATATGCGTTGTTTATGAGACATCCATCAATAAGTTTTGACATAAGCTTACTTTGAGAAAAGTCACTTATTTTATACACTGCGATATTGTAAGTTCAATTAAAAGCCTTTTTTCTCGAAAACTGTCCACATTAGAAAGTTCTAACAGTACTTACATTATTCTTAGAAAATAAAATTGTGTATTAGAAATTTGAGCCCGAATGGTAAAAAATAGAGATGGGAAAATTACCAAACTATGAAAATTCCTGGAAAGTTTCCATTGAAATTTTCCGAAATTTTCAAAAATTTTTTTTTGGAATTGGTACTGCGTTCTACATACCATCAGCTTTCCAAAAAGACCAAATACTTATACATTTTTGTTTAAGATGGTATAAATATTTGAAAAATATAAATTATTAATCATCTGTTAATAATAATTACATGCTGCGGGTTGCAGTGCGTAAATACTATACAGTATACAAAACTATTTGTCTTTATTTTTGAACAAATAAATAGTAATTACATTAAATAATTATATTAGTTTTAAAATGTAATTGTACTTTGGTTCACTATCAAAATTTATTTTAAATTTGAAAAGGGAGAGGCAATTTATGTCTTGTATTGCTCTCTATTATGTAGATTGTAGACTGAACAAAGATTAAAATAAGTAACTATTTTCTGACTAATTTGGATAATATGGTCTTCTGGTATTCCGAATTAACCGAAAATTAGAAATTAACTAACGATTTTTTGAGGTTGTGTTAACTGAAGTTAGAAGTAAAATTGGGTAAAAGTGTACAAATTGTTAGAAATATTCCCGGAAAATTTCTGATAGAAATTTTTCCAGAAACTTTCCAGGGAAAATTTCTTAAGCTTCGATTATTTCTTCCCGGAAAATTTCCGTTTTGGAAACTTTCCGGGACGGAAAATTTCCCATTGCCCATCTCTACATTCTTCCAATAATGGCCAATGGGACATCCTCTAATAATGTGTTTAAATCATTCTCCAAGAAATTTCGATACAGTGCACCTATCAATCGATTGGGCAATCGAAATGGGCCAATTAAGTAATTGTCGATTATACCTGCCCACACATTAATAGAAAACTCATATTGGTGACTTCGAATTATAGTTTGATGAGGATTTTCATCACTCCAATGGTGCATGTTATGTAGGTTCAGAATACCATCACGACTAAAACTAGCTTCGTCAGTAAACAAAATTGATGAAATAATGTTTTCTCTTTGGTTTTGAAACCATTCGCAAAATTGTACACGAGGAACAAAGTCATGTTCCAATAGTGAATGAATTTTTTGGAAATGATATGGGCGAAGAAGTTGTTCTTTGAAAATTTGTCTAACTGATTCACGGTTAAGGTTTCGCACCGCTGAACTTGTTTTCCTGGTGCTTGTTCTCGGATTATTTTCTACCATTCGTAAAACAGTTTCTTCGTTTCGCACAGTGCGACGAGTTCTGGAAACCCCACTATTCAATTTTGGTTTTCTAAAACATCCATCTTCTCCCAAACGCCTATGAACATCAATAAATGTTCGAACATTAGGAACTTGTCTTAAAGGATATCTTTCTCGATAGATACGTTGAGCTTCGTAAGAATTTGATCTAGCTTCGCCGTAACACATAATCATGTCCCTGTATTCTTCAAAAGTGTAGCGAACCATTTTTGAAAGCAATTTTGAATAATCAGTGAGAAAACCAATGAAAAACTTAATCAAGAACACAAAATACCTCTAACAATTATTATATTAGTTTGACAAGTGTTATTATGACACATTATTTAATTGTTATTTATCATTGTTTTTGCAAATGTTACTTTAATACAAATAATTTGCGTGCATTGTCGGCTTTTGTACTGGAATCATTGCTTCTAGCGACTTGGACAAGGTATACCTTTCTTACGTATAAAGAAGGGATAACAAATTTTGTTCAGTCGAAAATGACATACAGTGTATAGCAAAAAAGTTAGGACCGATTCAATAGATATGGAACCCTGTATGTAGCGCCCTCTATCAGTAATCACAAAACTAAGATCATATTTGAATTTAGCATGATAAAAAAACCCTGTATACCACATTTTATCCATTTCTTGCGTCTCTGGCTAAAGATATTCAAAAAAAAAACCCAAACAAAAATAAAATTCAACACCCCCTATCTTTTAACCGAAGGCCTTGCAGACCCATGTTCATAGGAACTTTTTTTCTTATTTTAGTGGCCTCTATTGTGTGGCACTATGCAATGTACTTTTTTCTATGTCACCCTGTATATATTTTTATTAGAATAAGATAAGAAATAAAATTAGTCATTCATTAAAGAAGGAACATTTATAATTTACTAAAATTTTTATTTAAAATAAAAACTGAAAATGATCTATTAATATTAACGAAAGAACACATAAGCACATTGAAATTATTAAATAATATAAACAGTCAAAGAAACGTTTTTTAATCACTCTAACGTCACCTTTGAAAAAGACCGTCACACAATTAGTTACAATAGTTGAGGTGCAGTGTTAGCCGAGTGGTCAAGGGCCTTGCGACTGATCTAAGGCCAGGGCAGGTTGGCACTACCATAGTGGGTTCAAGTCCCGCAGTAGCGAAAAAATTTGAAATAATTTTTCTGTCGTACCTATGGATATTTGTGTTTGTTAAGGTGTAGGGGAGTGTAGGCAAAAAGGGCCAAATATGTCCTAATTGCTTACTTTTTTTTTATTATTTTCGGTCGGACGAAATGGCTTTTGGAAAAAATTCACATTGTGTCAACTTGTCAGTTCATAATTTATCATTCCATTTTGAGTTAATTTTATTAGTTAATATTTATTTGTGGTATTCTATAAAATAATAATAGAAATTTTTTCCAGAAATGTTGCTATATCTTAAAAACTAAGAATTTTAGATATAGAACATGCTTAATAAAAGTTGCAGTGGACCGATATGTGAATAAAATAGAATAATAAAATACAGGCTGTTCCATTTGAAAAATTTTAGAAAATCAAGTTTATACTTTATAAAAATGATCGTATTATAAAAAATGCTGCGTATAAAATATCTATATTAGCTAATATAGGTGTCTTTGCCTAACATTTGCCTATAACTCTATCAAATATTTTTACTGCAAGTGTTAGTAGTTGAAAGTTAATACGACTTCTTTGAGGTCATGTTTTTTCCAAAATTTTCTACATAACATGGCAACCCCGCATTAAAATGATAAACTGTTTATATTGCCATATATAGAATTTTCTCGGAAATCCATGTTTAAAATATACAGGGTGATCCGTTTAAAAAATATAATATTTGGCGTGTCCCGTTTTTACTCATCATCCTGTATTTAATTTTGTAGTTTAGGTTTCTTAATTGTGTATAACTTTTTTATAAGCTTTTTTTCTGTATTATGAGTAACAAGGGAGTTATTTTAGTTTTTCACACTAATGGCCCACCCTGTATGTTCATTTGACCAACAACATATTTTAATTACTTATATCCTCAAACAATTTTATTATATTGATGGTAAATTTCATTTTGTTTCGTTTCAAAAGGTCTCCAAAGTCCCATGTCATAATAATATTAGTAAGCAAAATATCCCTCTTATTTCTCCTTTTCGCAATTGTAATATGAATCATTAATAGAAGGTGCCTATAATAAATTAAAATTACCTGAATCACACCAAATTCCGCATTGCTGCACTGCTTTGCTAGGCCATTTGTTGACAACTGAATTTATGGCCACGCCACCCAGTGCGGCTGTGTTTGTGCCGCGTTTGCCCACGCGCTCGTTCTTCAACTGGGCGACCAGAGATATGGGTATGGGTATGGATAAATAAATGTGGGAACAAGTTTTTCAATATTTCAATGCCGAGTTGCTGCGTCAGTGAACGAACCTGTACATACTGCCAACCTCTTGGTTCTTCAATTGAAATCGGAAATACTATAACAAATACTATGCATTCTTTTAACCTTTACGTTTTATAAATATTTACAGAAAAAATGTAATCGGTAAAACTATAAATATGTATGTAGTTTTTTACGTTGACATTGACAGAAAGGGATGCAGGATCAATTTATGTATTAGTTTTTTAAAATGACTTGTTGGTTTTTAATGAAACTCCATATTTTAATACAAGATTGACCATTGGTTAGCAATAAGCATATAATGTTATTCTGAATCAACTGAATTAATATTATTTTTGAATCCTACAGTTTTTCTGTGTTAAAAGTACTTTTAATTCTGAAAAATTAAACAGTTACTTGTACATGTATTTCTTTATTTAATTGTAGTAGATAGGGAAACACAAAGCTTATTAAATTTTTACCCAACCAGAACTTTGATCATGAATTAAGTAAAGTAGTTATTATAAAATCAAATTTTAAGAAAATTGTATTCATGGAAAGTATTAACAATTTGTGTTTATGTATTTCAGGATAAAGAAAATATTGTCGGAATACATAGGCTTGGAGGAGGGATCACAGCACGAGTTGCCCTGGTACCCTCCACTCTGTGACTACCCAAATGTTTTCGGTGATAAGTATGTGCCATCTACCGAACGTCACGTTTTGAACACCGAGATAAAGAGCAATGATTATCTGAGGAATCATCTCTTGAAGTATGTTAACGATGGAAAAGCCGACGAAGCAGAAATTGGGCAAAGAATAATTACTGCAATGGAGAAAGTGAGTCTGTCAAAGTATGCTCTTTTAACAATTTTGACATTTTTTCACCGGATTTATTTTGCACGTTTGCACATTAGTGTTAGCTACATCATATTGGATACGAGTGAGATAGTCAATATACAGGGTGTTTCTTAATAACGTGCTAATATTTAAGGAGGTTATTCTTGGGTCCATTTTAAGAAAAAAACTTCATATGAACATATGTCCTAAAAGTCTTAACCTTTGAACTACAAGCTGCTAAAGTTTTATGAAAAAACATTTTTTTATGATAACTTTGGTATTACCCTAGATATTTTTTCAAATTTGGTACATGCCTTCTATTCATCGAGATGCATTTTCTGATGTACAAACAATTTTATTATTTTTGCCAATGGCGTCTGTACAGGTTTTGTATTGAATATTTTTGAAGAAAAATATGTTACACCACTGCTTTTTCTTAAAGTAAAAATCAATTTTGAAATCATCATTCCTTTCTGAGCAAATGTGGTGTCTTGAATTTTTTTCGTTTGACGTACGGTTTTCGCATAAAAAAATAAAATTCATTCATTTGTATGCTGTTGTATCTAAAAGGAGTACACCGTACTGTAAGAACTCCAGAAATTGAGATAGCGGTTTTGAACTCAATTGAGGAAGATCCAACATTAAGTACAAGAAAAATTGGGAAAAATTTGAATGTCTCATATTTTTTTTTTTGGAATTTTCTCTATCTTTTTTTTTTATCTCTCTCCTATCCCCTGTGTTTTCGCTCTTTTCTTTTTCGCGTTTCCATTTTTGCTACTAAACTTTTGCCAATGGTTTCTTCATAAAGTGAATGAAAATCCATTATTTGACACTGAAATTTTATTCACCGATGAAGCCAACTTTTCCAGAAACGTCATCCAAAATTTCCACAAGGGCTGAAGAAAACCCACATGCAATCTTGGAATCCCTTCACCAGGAGCAGTTTTCCATTAACGTGTGGGTTGGAATATGTGGTGATTGTTTAGTTGGACCCTATTTATTCATGAGAGATTAAAAGGACATAATTACCGGCATTTTCTTGAAGAAGAATTGCCAGGTTTGATGTAGGTTGTTCCCATTTTAGTAAGAAATCAACTATGGTTTGTGCACGACGGAGCACCAGCGCACTTCAGTGCTCTGGCGCGCGAATATTTAAACCAAAATTATAATAATCGCTGGATAGATCGCAACGTACCACAGTCATGGCCGCCTAGGTCCTAGGACCTCAATGCTTTAGATTGCTTCCTATGGGGTCATCTCAAAACATTGGTTTACAGCACACCAATTCATAGTAGTTGATAAATCGCATCATAGTTTGTTGCGAAACTATTAGAACCACTCCCGGCATTTTCCAAAGAGTACGTGAGTCCATGAGAAGAAGAGCAGAGGCATGTATATTTGCAGAAGGTGGACATTTCCAACTCTGATATAATTTATTTCTTTGTGCATTCAGGGTAATTTTCTTTTACCATTCCAAAATGTATGTAGATTACTGTAATTTCATAATTTCAACGTTTAAAAGTTATTATCTTCAATAAATTATTGTTTAAAGTTACATAAATCTTTTTTTTTTCTCGTAAATGGTCCAATAAGATGCAAATAAATGAATTTTATATTTTTATGCAAAAACCGTACATCAAACGAAAAAAATTCAAGACACCACATTTGCTCAGAAAGGAATGAGGATTTCAAAAATGATTTTTACTTTAAGTAAAAGCAGTGGCGTAACATATTTTTCTTCAAAAATATTCAATACAAAACCGGTACAGAAGTCACTGGCAAAAATAATAAAATTGTTTGTACATCAGAAAATGCATCTCGATGAATAGAAGGCGTGTACCAAATTTGAAAAAATATCTAGGGTAATACCAAAGTTATCATAAAAAAAATGTTTTTTCATAAAACTTTAACACCCTGTAGTTCAAAAGTTAAGACTTTTAGGATATATGTTCATATGAATTTTTTTTCTTAAAATGGACTCAAGAATAACCTTAAATATTAGCACGTTATTAAGAAACACCCTGTATATTTAAAAATTTTAAATATATTTTTTGATCTCTAACTTTTTCTTCAAGGATTTTTTTTGTTTCTTCAGTAATAACAGAGGTGTTGCACTTTGCCATACTAATAGACCAGTATATTCTATTATATAAAACAAATAATAAAACTCGTCTTACAGAAAAGTGCGCCGAGATGGGTTCTTGCCACCCTAGCAAGTTTGTACTGGCGTGTGCGAGGAAACTCTAGGCGAGCACTGGACTGCCTGGACCTTGCTTTCCAGATAGTCCCCAAAGACCCGACAGACGTCGTTCTGGTCTCTATAGGTTCGTTGGTGTATCAGTTGGGCTTCGCAGAGCAAGCCATGAAATTCGCCACTTTGGCTTTTAAAATCAATTACGTGGAGCCGAGCACAAATTTCCTCCTGGCGATTCTCCATTATACAAATAATAACCCGCTTCTTGCTATGTACTACATGAAGAACGTGCTCCGGGTCGATCCTGAGTATTACGACGGACAAGCGGAGATTCTGCTGAAAACTTGGGGGTGCAGAATAAAGTTGGGATCGTACAGTCCGGTAAAGGAGAATGGTGAAGTGCACAGTAAGGAGGTGTGCGATAATAAGGAGTCGTTTAAGACGGAGGGCGTCGTTTGTTCTTTGAGTGGTGATCAGTGTAAAAATGCTGCCATTGCTTGTTATAAAAAGAATGATGAAGGTATGTGTTAAGGTTACAGGTTAAGTTGTTTTTTGCACCCACGATAACAAAAGTCCAGTTCATCTGAAATAAGAAAGGGAAATGGCATTTTAATCTGTGGATGTGTGGCTAGCGTGTGAATTAGAATCTAGTGAAAATATTGAAATTAGCATTTTTGCTGAAGTTTTGAGAAAAAAAGTAAATTTTTCGTCATTTTTTCGACACTTCAAGTTAAAAAAAAAACTATGGGATGTTTCACGTCAAGCGGATCACCGACCTGGACAAAAATTGCGTGGTACGATCGAGACGTTAGGGGCTCAAAGTGTTCGTCTAGTAAGAGGCTTTCAAACGCAGTGGTGCTATTCAAAAATCCAAAATGGCGGACCCAATATGACGGCCGGAAACTGGAGAAAACCTGAGTGTATGGCAAAAAAGGGTTGTGAAAAAAAAATTCGCAATCAATCGGGTAATTTTTTAGCTCAAATTGTAGCTGAGGGACACCTCTTAACAGCTGGTGTGGTTGGATGAAAAAATCCAAAATGGCGGATCCAACATGGCGGTCAAAAAACCGATTTGGTAACTGAATTTTAAAAAATTAACTGATTTACACCAAACTTGGTATACGGGGGTTTTTGAGGTTGTTGATTACTAATCCAAGTTCAGATTTGCAAAATTCAAGATGGCGGATCCATGATGGCGGAAGAATTTCGGAAAATCAACCGATTTCCACCAAATCTGGTATATGGGAGGTTTTCGGAGGTCGTTAAAAAATGACAAATCCAGTATGGTGGATAAAATCTTTCGCCATTTGAATCCGTCATCTTAAATTTTGCAAATCCAACAAGATACATGATGAGCGACCCCAAAAATCCTCATATACCAATTTGGTGGTAATCGTTAGAATTTCCGAAATTTCGCCCGCCATCATGGATCCACCATCTTGAATTTTGCAAATCTGACCATGGATTCGTAATCAGCGACCTTAAAACCTCCCGTATACCAAGTTTGGTGTAAATCCATTGATTTTTAAAAATTCAGTCACCAAATCGGTTTTTTGACCGCCATGTTGGATCCGCCGTGTTGGATTTTTTCATCCAACCACACCAGCTTTTAAGAGGTGTCCCTCAGCTACAATTTGAGCTAAAAAATGACCCGATTGGTTGCGAATTTTTTTTTCACAACTCTTTTGCCGTACACTCGCGTTTTCTCCAGCTTCCGGCCGCCATATTGGGTCCGTCATGCTGGATTTTTGAAAAGTACCACTCTGCATTTGAAAGCCTCTTACTAGACGAACATTTTGAACCCTTACACGTCTCCATCGTTCCACGTAATTTTTGTCCAGGTTGGTGGTCCGCTTGACGTGAAACAAACATCTCCTATACAGGGTGATTCATTAACAATGGGAAAATCAGGAACTGAAGATACTACACGTGAAATGGTAACCATTGGAGCAAACATGCTTTATCCGAAAGTTGATAGTTTCGGAAATACAGGGTGTTGAAAGTTAAAATGTTATTTTTTTTTTTTTGCGATTATTCTGAAAATATGTAGGTTAGGAACTTGAAAATTTGTGAAACTATATTTTTTTAAGCAACGAATAAGATGCATGTTGCAATTTCAGCTTTGCTCATAGAGGGCGCCACATATGGCCAATTTTACCGAAAATTTAGTTAATAACTTTTTACTCTGTATGTCTAACATGAAACTTGATTCAAAACCTGAATAAGAAATAATTTTTTCATTAATTATGTACTCTTGTTTCATTTCGGTATCTTGATCCGTTTTCGAGAAAAATCGATTTAACGAACACTACGTCTTGATAATACGAGAAATTAAAAGCGAAACAAACTAAGTGTTTCTTCTTGTTATTACAACAATTAATAATAAAACAAATGAAATACGTAATAATGATTTAAAGTAATTGTTCCACAGTCGACACTGATACACTTTTCCCATTTTCTAAGAGATCTTTGAGTTTGAAACAACATATTGAGATTGCCTCTGACTTCGTTGGTAGCGATTTGTATTCTTTGCCATAACTCTTCACGCGAACCAATAGATTCTTTATAAACTATATAAATTCATTCGAGACCAAAAAGAACAGTCAAGAGGATTGAAGTCCAGACTTCTGGGTGGCCAAGCAAAAATGCTTACCTAATCACCCTGTATAAGATATATTAATTATTCTAGTTCAGACGAAAACTAGGTTTTTGCAGAAGATGTGTGTGGAGAATATCGGTTAAAAACTTTTTGGAGATATCATGGGTGGTATCAGCCGGCGAACCGCTCCGTTCTACATCTGTAACTTTATAACTAGCTTAAATTTCAAAAAATCCCTTCGTCACCTATTCTACATAACTTTTGGAGGTGATATATGAAAAAAAATCTTTTCGCGACATAAAAATTGTACTTAATGCTGGAAGCGTATGTATGCCCATAACTTGCCCGCGTTAGCACAGTGGGAACGTCATTTGAGAACAGCTACTGCAGTGAAATGGTTAAAGGAGAATGAATTTTTCAGAATCTCGAGCCAGACCGGTGATAAAACAGACCATTGAGGCTTGTGGCGGTGCGAAACGCTCAAATTTGGGGCAGACTATAATATCCTCTCTGCTGGCTGCTGAGGGATCTGGAGACACAGAACCCGATCAGTCCAGATTAGAGAGAATGACTGACATTCCAAGGCAACCCAATGTGCAACATTCTGAATCAGCGCATGCTCTTCACATGAGGCTGTCATTGGGGGAGGAACATCCGACGCATGAACATGCTGGACTTGGAGATTTTTATGGTAATTACCTTTTTACATTATTTAGTAATTAATAGGTTCCAAAGAAAATGAATAATTACATAAAAATATAGATATGTTTTGCCTTTTCTCAAAACAGTATTATTCCCCATTTTTTTATGTTTGTAAAAATATTAATAAGTTTTTCATCATTTCATTTATTTAAAAATGAATGAAAGGCATTTTCAGGCAGTACTTTTGTTTGTTTAAATAATAGGAATCAACCCTGAGAGTTTGTCGCAACAATGCTGTTACAACCTATATACAGTGTGTCTACTTTTATTTATCTACAAATCCGTAAAAATTTTATGCCTCAAGATAATTAAAAAAAAAAATGGCATCAAAAACCGCTTCTGATCTTTCTGCGGCCTTTAAGATGGCGATCCAAGGGCTGCTATGATTTTCTTTATACCCCCCGAATTTCAATATAAACACTTATCGATTTTTTAATGTAAAATGTGATAAGGCGGTGTGAACCAGGACCCCTCCAAACCCCTAGGTGTGGAATTTAAACCAAAACTATGCGTTTTCTTCTGCACTATTTCGAGGATATAAAAAAAACATAGCAGCAATTGCCGTCTGAAAAGCCGTTGTAACACCCTTTGTATACTTTACTTTATTTTGGTTTTGATTTTGCGGTGGTGACTGTTCGGTTCAGACGTTACTTATGGCCGCCCCCGGTATACTACCAACTCTAAACGGAATCTTAATTCACAATTGCGAATTCTACTTTACTAGATTTATTGACGTCACTGACGTCCCTATTTGGACGCCTAATTTTATGACGACCCTTGACTACTAGTTTATCGGCAGCGGTGGTTGGCAGCCGGCGGTGGTGAGTGACGTCACAGGAACGTACTCCGGGTTAAATCTTTTTGTGCGGTTTTTGTCTCGGGCGCCAGTTTCCCAATC